TACAAACAATATGAAAAAACAAGGAAACAAACCATTCCAAATAACCCAGACTACTTCAAATTAGACTCCTTTGACACCATAGTGGAGGAAATTTCAGAAATAGAATTCAGAAAGTTCATGTTAAAACTGATCTACAAGGGAAATTATAATGTAAGAAATAAAATCAGAGAGAATATGCAAGTAGTGAAAGATCCTTTCAACAAGGAGATAGAGTTCTGAAGAAGAATCAGTCAGAAATCCTTGAAATGAAGGAATCAATAAACCAAAATAAAAACTCAATGGAAAGTATCACTATGGGTTAGAACACTTGAAAGACAAAAGTTTCAGGCAATGAAGACAAAATATATAATCTAGAAGATAAATTTGATCATGGGGAAAAGATGTTAAAGAGCCATGAACAGAACTACTAAAGAATATGGGCTAACATGAAAAGACCAAATTTAAGATTTATCAGGATGGATGTAGGCTCAGAGATACAAATCAAAGGAATGAACAATCTTTTCTAAGGAAATAATACCAGAAAATTTCTCAAACCTTAAGAATGAATCGGAAAACCAAATACAAGAGGCTTACAAAACTCCAAGACCCACTCCAAGGCACATTATTATGAAAATGCCTAACATATAGAATAAGTATACAATTTTAAAGGCTGCCAGAAAAAAAAAAAAAGGTCACCACCTTTATAGTAAAACCAATATGAATCTCACATGATTTCTAATCCTAGACCCCCAAAGCTAGAAGGTGTTGGAATAATATATATCAAGTTCTGAAAGAAAATGGATGCCAGACAAGAATACTATATCCAGAAAAATTAAGGTTCAGGATTGACTATGAAAAAAAACCTTCCATGATAAACAAAAGTTAAAATAATTCACAATTGGAAAGCCTGCACTACAAAACATACTCAATAAAATACTTCATGAAGAAGAAATGAAAAATGAAAGTGAAAACCATCAAAGGGAGGAACTACACTAGAATAGCCAATCAAAGGAGAAACTAATTAAAATTAAAAACAAGAAATAAATCAAAATTACAGGGAATAAAAAGCATATATCAATAATAACACAGAACATAAATGGCCTAAACTCATTAATCAAAAGACACAGACTAGAAGATTAGATTAAAAAACAGAACCCAACAATATGCTGTCTCTAAGAGACTTACCTCATAACACAAAGCATGATACTGGCACAAAAACAGAACTGTGCATCAGTGGAACAGAATAAAAGACAAAGATACATACCCACATAAATATGGTTATCCCATGCTAGACAAAGGGGCCATAAATGTACATTGGAGAAAAGATAGCCTCTGCAACAAATGGTGCTGGGAAAACTAGAAATCCATGTGTAGCAAAATGAAATTAAACCCCTATCTCTCATCTTGTGCAAAACCCATCTCAAACTTGTTCAAGGACCTAGGTATTAGACCAAAGACCCAGTGCCTACTAGAAGAAAAAGTAGGCCCCACTCTCCAAAATGTCAGTTTAGGGGCTGAATTCTTCAACAAGAATCCTAGAGCACAAAAAGTAAATTAAGAATCAATAAATGGGATAGCATCAAACTAAAAAGTTTCTTCACAGCAAAGAAAACAATCAAGAATGTGAGGGGAGAGCCTACAGAATGGGAGAAAATCTTTATCACCTGCACCTCAGATAGAGCATTAATCTCCTCACTATACAAAAAACTTAACTCCTAAAAAACAAATGACACAATCAATAGTCCAGCAAAGGAACTGAACAGGAACTTCACAGAACAAGAAATATGAATGGTTAACAAACCATTAATACAACATGAAAACATCCCTAGCACTTGGAGAAATGCAAATTAAAACTACACTGAGATTCAATCTCACTTCAGTCAAAATGGCTATTCTCAAGAATACAAGTAACAAATGTTGGTGAGGATGTGGGGGAAAAGGTTCATTCATATATTGCTGTTGGGACTGTAAATTGGTGCAACCACTCTGGAAAGCAGTAGGAATATTTCTTAGAAAACTTGAAATGGAATCACCATTTGACCCAGTTATCCCACTCTTCGGCTTATTCCCCAATAGCCAACATATGGAACCAACCTAGGTGCCCTTCAACAGATGAACAGATAAAGAAAATATGAAATACACGCACACGCACACACACACACAGACACACACACACTGGACTATTACTCAGCTATAAAGAAGAATGAAATTATGGCATTTGCTGGTAAATGGATGGAACTGGAAAATATCATACTAAGTGAGATAAGCCTGTCCCAAAAAACCAAGGGTCAAATGTTCTCTCTGATATGTGGATGCTAACCCACAACAAGGGAGGGTGGGAGGGGAAGTATAGGAATTCATTGGATTAGACAAAGTAGAATGAAGGGAGAGGGGAGGTAAGAATAGGAAAGACAGTAGAATTAATCAAACATAAATTTCCTATGCTCACATATGAATACACGACAACTCACAACATGTTCAACCACAAGAATGGGATCAAAATTATAATGGGTTACATCCCATGTATGTATAATATGTGAAAATACACCCTATGCTCATGTATATCCAAAAACAAGTAATGACAAATAAAACCACAAATGATCTTGAAGTATCTATCCATATGCTCTCAATGAAGTAGAGTTCAATCTTATTCCACTGATGAAATACTGAAAGAGAAATTTCAACAACTTCAATCCTAATGATTATGGTTTTGTATGAGATCTTTTGCTTCATGCATTTCAAGACGATATTATCTGAATCTTCATGTGACAGTTAGATCTCCTCTATTTTTTACCTGTCAATCTTCTTTGCCTGATGTTGACATTGTTATGGCTGTTGTATTTGTTGTTTATGCATTTAAGATGTTCACTATCACAAGTGAAACAGGACAATGAAGACTGACTTGGGCCAGTCATATCAAGTAGGATTGACTCTCCCGAACGCCCACCACAATTGGGGGGATGTTACTGTGGCAGAAGAGACAATGACTGTAATTCTGGCTACTGTCCATAATCAGACAGTAGCCAGCTGGAAGTTACGGAAACACTCTACTAGGAACAATAGAAATTAAGAATAAAGAAAATATATGCATTTATTTTTCCTATGGGAAGAACATAGGAGGTAAGCAAATGTTGGTATATACTATGTCCACCAGAGGCCTTTTTCTATTGAGCAAAATCTACCTTATCTTATAATTTGATTATGAGGAAGACTACAATTAACCAGATTAAATTCAGATTAAAATATAATTTTTAAATCAAATCTATGTTAGATTTTTAAATTATAGGTGAAGGTAGGAAAATTTATTTCTAATAATGAACTATTTTTTTACTGACTAGATTATATATCCCATAGTAAAAATAAAATGTTGCAAATTTAATTTTCAGAAAGTGTGAATTAAGCAACTTTTAAGATGTTAATATTATACATATGTACACATAATTCATATGCATATATTCTTCATTGATAACTTGCAATCATTAAGCATTATAAAACAAAATCAGAATTTATTCCCACCTTAACTCAATTATTTTTGTTGTTTCTAATAATCACTTATTCTTTTTCAATAATTTTCCAAAAAGAACATTTGTTATTCAATATGTATCACTTAAAACTGCTTATGGTTAAATGTATTTTCTCCCATTACTTTTTCTGTGCACTGAAAAAAAAAAAAAAAAAAAAAAAAAACTAACAGGGTGGGAACATTTACTACAATTCTGCCCTAAGAAAGCACTAAAAGTAAATTCATAGTATAAGTGAATAATGGTGTATCTCACCTCATTTTACTCTCAGTAATTGAGAGGGGAAACAGAAGATCTATTAAAAGGACCATTGCTGGTCAAGCACTAATGAGAAAATTTCTGAGTCACTGGCTGTCATGGTAACAGGGCATTATCAAAATCTGATTGGTATGCCCAGTAGCTACATAAGTGATAGACTACACTTCTAATTGTGTTGTCTCTGCTTGCAAGATGGGCTTCATGTTTCTCAGAGGTGAAAGGGTGTCACAGCTCTGCTTATCAGATGTGGGATTCTCTTCATGTTCATAAATTAAGTTCAAACATCTAGTACTAAGGATAAATTAAATTTTGAGAAGAGTTTTTAAAATTAAAACTAAAAAATCTGTTTAGTTCAGTCTTGTCATTAACTTATAAATTTCTCTATAAGTTTATTTTTTTTCCAATCTAATTTCATTGACATTCATACCAAAGATAAAACAAAGATGGATAAAGAAAAAGAAATTTCATGAAAATGAATAAAGAGTCCTCCTAAGAACAAAATTCCCAAATGGAGCAGTTTAGAAACTGCATCAAGAACTACAGATGTCCAGGAATAGTTTAGAGAGATGTTAGCAAGAGATGGACTCAAGAATGTTTAAAAATATTAAGAAAAACAGAAAATGGGATTGGTGGTAGGAGCTGACCACAGAAACTGTGGACGGAGCTTTCAGTCCACCAGAAGCCTTGCATCTCTGTGTTTACAATGTCCTTTCTTCTGCCTTTTATCTTTGGGGTACAAAATTTCAGTGCACTCTGAAAATTACAGAGCTCAGTGTTTTCAGAACTGCTTTACTCTCTTAAATATCTTGAGTGTCCTTGAATTTTTAAAGAAATTGATCACTTCCTTCTGATCTTTTCTGGTAGATGACTTAATTCTAAAAGGAAAACCTGCAAGATTAGCAGAGGCAAAGTAAACACTGGAATGCATTATTGACTGGAAATCCATATGCCTTTTCAGGACTTGTGAGCATAAGGAGCATTAATAATGCTTGCCCTGAGAAGCTTATTACTCTTGTTAAATGCATCAGCATGTGGACTTACATGTACCAAATATCAAAAGCAATCAATCTAAAGTCAATATAACAAAAGTCAAAGGCACAATTATCTACATGTTTCTAAATTCTATGGAAGGTACAAAGTTGCAGAGAGAAAAGTCATAGTCAAGGCCAGCGGAGTGAGGAAACGGTAAACAAGAGCATTTCCTGTAGGAATTAGGCTATTTCTGGGGTTATGTGCACTGACCTGGGATGGAGGCTGCAGTCTGAAAGCCAATCAGTGTGGCCGAATCCTGTGAGAAGTACATTGCCTTTTGGGAGGCCCACCACCTTCCAGAGGCGATCCTCGCTGCAGGAGACTAAAATGTCTTTGCAGGGGTGGATGATGATACTGCATAGGGAGAGAGAAGAAGTGTCAGGGGGCGATAAGGGCAAATGGTTTCAGAATGTGAGTACATGAAATGGCAGGGATGGTTCTTTTTCATCAAGGCAGGGTGGTTCCCAGTGCTGTCCCAGAAGTCAGAGGAAGCCCATTCCACATCTACTGTAGCTCTAACAAGAAGAGCTTCTGATCACCATCAATGTAATAACCTCACTGAACCTCAGATTTCTCATTTGCCAAATGAAGTAGTTGGTTTAGAAGACTGTTCATGTCTAATTCTGGCTTTAAAACCATAATTATATATTTTTTTTCTTTTAAAGAGGAAATGTAATACCAGTGATATGTTGGTGTTAGAATAGTTGGACCAGTGGCCATGCTTTTTATAAACAATCAAAATTCTGTTCCAATGATAGTTTGTCTTAAATCAGGCAATATCTAGGACAAGATCATGAATCACAACCACATTACCAAAGTTCTATAATAAACACTACAAATGAAACATTAACTATGTGGCCCACTATCTATACAAAGTGAAGGATCACAAATTCTGTGCTAACACACCACTTTAACTGACTTCAGTCAATGCACAGTACAACAAATTACAGTAATGTATTCAAGATGCATAAAGCAATTCCAATTCTACAAAGGCATAGAGGGAAATGAAAAAGACATATGCAAAATTAATGATTAACACATTAAGCACTATTATTTGAACCAGGCTCTGATCATCATAACTATTTAAATATTGAAGCTAAACTATTCTAAAATCAAGAATCTACAAGGTTAATGCCTGATATTTTATCCACTGCAATGCTTTAATTTTATTTATATAGAGTTCCATCTACACCTTACAATATAATGGGAACAAATGTGTCCAATGTTAAGTACCTATTAAAATACCAGCCTAAATATTAGCAACAAATGGTTCAATTTCAGTTGGGCCATTTCAACTCAAAGATGGAAAACATGTACTTCCCTAGACAGTACAAGGAAACAAATGATGACTTTAGAAAATAGCAATCACATATTCTTTTTTCCCATAATCCATTCTATGAATGGCCATGTTATTTTTCTTCTACAATATAGATTTTTAGGTTGAAAGAAATTATGGCTCTGGTCCATAACTGCGTAACTCTAGGGCTTACATGAGAGCAAAACTTTTTTCGTTATCTCTCTCTTCTACCAATATCATTAAGTCCCCAGTTGTAAAATGAAAAGTCATTTCCTTGGATTAGACCAATATGGTTTTGGAATTCAAGGAGTATCTGTGTTAAGTTCACAGCACTGCAATCGCTATGGAAAAGGCCTTCTTTCTAGTGAAACACTGTTTCATTTTTTGTAATATTTTACTGCTCAAAATAAACACAGTGGAAAGAAAATTATTCATTTTGCAATTCATCATAATGTTGGTTTGTGACTTTCAGAAGGCCAATTCAAGAAAAAATTTATTATAGCTCAAACTGGGTAGAGGATACATTTATGGAACTTAATTAGAATAAAAATATGATGAGAGGTAAAAATGTCAGATTGAAATGAATTCTATATTCAAATACATACAAGAAAGCAAACCAAATCCTTGAAGCTACTGAGGATGATGTATGTTGGTGCACAGCTTCCCTGGCAGACACATGCACACTTGACTAGATGATAAATTACCCTCTTTAAGTGAAGATAACTAAAATCATTGATGTCTTTACGAACTTTGAAAGATAAGTTTCCAAAATGACTTTTGTGAGGGGAGCTATTTGTAGACGTTAAGGGAAAAACAGAAACCCGCTAGTAGACAATCGGTTTGGAAGTATTTTTCTCCAATTCTCCTTCCTTCCACTTTGTGGACTTCTCTGTACCATGGTGACTTCTATTTCCACTCCACAGAGACTGGTTTCCTGATTCCTATCTAATGTCTAACATATGCTTGTGCATGCACACACACACACACATACATAAACACATAAAGTAGCCCTCCTTGTATTTCACAAAAAAAGAAAGGAAACTAATAGAATGGAGGAAGGAGATGCAAAGGGAGGTAGGAGGGGGGTGGGTATGGCAGTCCTGGGAACAAAAGCTACTCACTGATGCTGTGTCCATGTACAAATGTACCACAATGAATCATACATACATACACATGTATTTACACATAAATTATAATAATGTACTAATTAAAATAATAACAATGATAGAAGAGAGCATGTGAATCATGGGGGAGTGGAGAGAAGAGAAAGGGAAGAGAAGGTACTAGAGAAGGGGATTGAGCAAATAATTTTGTACATATGTACAAATACAGAATAATGAATCCAACTACTATGGAAAAATATAGTGAACCAATTTAAAAAAGTATCCCTCCCCCTTATCTGTGAGGGGTATACTTCAAGACCACCACTGGATGCATAATCCATGGATAGTGACAAACTACATCTACAGTGTTTTCTCCCATCAATACATACCTATGATAAGGTTAAATTTATAAATTAGACACAGTAAAAGATTAATAACTAATGACAAAATAGAAAAAATATAACACACATTTTTATGTTCATGTAGTCCATTAAAAAATTTGCTGCCTATCTTAACTAAGCACTTAATCACACACTGTGGCAATAACTTTTGAAGTTTGAGGTGTGATAGGAATGTTGGTGCAAATTACTTTTCCTTCTTCATGATTTAATTGTCAGAAGATTTGGCCTTACACATATATTTTATATAACATTTGAGCAAGAAAATAAAGATTTCAAATGCAACATATAGTTCATCTTCCCAGAAGCCTATGTAAACAGATCATAGGATCCATGCTACTAATACCCTGTGGTTTCTCCTACAGCATCAGAGCATCTTAACTGCAAAGGGTAGGGTCTCCTAGTCTTCTGAGACTGGTGTCTGGTGGTACCCAGCTCTGATCTATATGCTGACAGTTCCTAGATATATATTATAAAATTATATATAATTAAATATACATAAATGTATCTATATATACTATATATACATATT